GGGTAAAAATCCGTTTCTATGATCACAAAACAGGGACAGAAATTGCATTTCAGTCCCTTGAGAAATAATGATAATGAAAACTCCCTGATATTTATATAGGTTATATTAACTCAAACTTAAAAAGGTACATTGTTTATATTTAAATTAAACGTTATATTTTCACATTTTGTAAAATTTACCGCTGGAATTTTATTAATCAATAGATTCGAATCAGAACTGGCTCCCGATGTTATATTGACATTTGAGGTAGTGCTACCTTGAATAATCTGATTTGCAATCTTCGTTTTGTTGGCCACAGAGTTCTCAATGTAGCTTTCCGCGACTGTGGTGGACTTCCACCCACCATGCCGTTTTATAGTGGTGATGTCAGCTCCAGCATCCGCCAATAGAGTGGTGGAGGAACGCCTCATGCAGTGCCCCGTATAGAGTTCTGGGTTTGGTAATTTTAAGTAATTGGCGATCATATTTGGCACCTTGCCAAGCGTGTTTTTCCCAACCGGCTGAGTACATTTTCCGTTCTTGTAGAAAACAAAAAATCGTCCATGGTTAGTTCCAGGTCGAAGGGACGTGTATTTGCGAATTATCTGAAGAAAATCCACTTTACCGCCTTCATTACTCGCTATAACGAACGTTCTGGATGTTTTGTTTTTTGTATGTGGCAGGGTAATTATGAAAGAAGACCCCACATCTTCAACGTTATCCAGTGTCATATTGACCAATTCGTCAGTGCGACATGCGCCAGATATTCCAAAAATCAACGCAACCTAAAGAGGAAATGGTTAGCAATGTTTAATACGTTAAGTAAACGCAATTTTACCTTTCGCATAAGATGGGTATCATCGTCAGCTTCAAGCAAGAATTTTTCCACCTCTTCTCTATTAAATATTTTCGATTTTTTCGGAGAATATCCATCAGAATTCCTTTTTAAAAATGATATCAATTTTGGAAATTTGTTGATGTCAACATTGTCGTAAATGAGCATACAAGACCTCACCATGGAATATTGTGCCCATACCGTTGAACATTTGTACTTTTTGGCTTTTTCGCTAAAGTAAACCAACATAACATTGTCGGTGACGGTCGCGACATCTTTTTCTATGCACCAGTCTTTAAAACCTTTATATGCTGCTTCATACAACTTTTTCGACTTATCAGGTAGTAAATTCACAACAGCAGCGTTAGCGGCGTTTGTAATTTCATAAGGTTCTTCAGAACAACCCGCAACTTCCATTTTAATTCACGCACTTTTTCAACAGCAAACATTGTTTGTTTATCTGTTGCCATGGTTTATCTGAATTCTCGACTAACATGATTACATTTTAATTTATTGGTTGCCACGGTTATACTTAATTCTCCACTAACCTGATTAATATGTGGTTATAATCTTCAAAGAACCATCAATTCATTTAAAGAGTATAGGTAAACGTCGACGCGAATGCAAAAAAATAGTATATACACCTCTGGAGCGAAATGCCATTTTCCCATCAATTCATTTAAAGAGTATAGGTAAACGTCGACGCGAATGCAAAAAATAGTATATACACCTCTGGAGCGAAATGCCATTTTCCCTTGGTGCTTTGTAGCCTTCGGGCTCCGCTTCGCTTCGCCCTCTGGCTACAAATCGCACCGCGGGAAAAATAATGCATTTCTCTCCCTTGATGTATAATGTACTATTTAGCAAACGTAGGTTGTATGGAAGTTGTATAACATATACGATGTTACTATTGGAACTTATCTATAGGTACTCATATTTGCGGTTGCATTTATATTTTTATATTATTTATATTATTTTATATTTATATTTTTAGCGCAATTTTTGCAAATTTATTTGTAAAAAGGTAACTTTTCTCTTTTGTCCCGCTGGCTAGCTGGCTGGCAGCAAATGCGGGCCCGTAGAAGAACGCTTGTCATTAACAACTGTAGGGACGGTGCTACATGATGTGGGGTGGGCGACATTATAGGGCGCGATCCCCGAGCATGTTATACGAACGTGGCGATTTTTCAGTTTTTTTCCATCGGAAGCGGGTACCGACAAAGAATGTGGTAGGCCCCGAAAAGATCTTAATGATGGCAGAGTCAAACCTCTCTAATAGAATACAAAAATTCGCTGAAGTCCCTTAGATCTCACATGAGGATTGTTTAGATGTAGCGTAAACACGATCAGGCGTTGAAAGAACTAAAAAGTTTTAAAGCGTTTAATAGAAATACCAAGCGTTTAGAAAATAATTTCAATTCGACAATGGGGAAGAATTCGCGAATTCCGAATTTGACTAATATATGTAAGTCGAAAAGTGTTTTCGACTCAGATTTTTGTTGCCACCAGCACTGATGCTTCTTGTTAAAATATTACTACACGAATTATTTTTTCTATATTTCCATATTCAGCTCCAGATAGCGTTGTGTCTAACGCGATCTTTTCATTGGAAAACCGCTGAAACCAATTCAAAAGCTTCTGGAGACTACAGAATAATATAGAAACACCACAACTTCAATTGTGTTTGAACTTTCCTTAAGGAATTGTCTAAGCTTGGTATTACGTATTGGTTATCTACCATTTGTTTGATGTGGTCTTGGATGAAGGGTATACACTAAGCGCATTATTACACGTAATTATACAGTTACGTATATTGGTGGAAAACGTTTAATTAATCACTGTTTCACGAAAATTGTAATTGACATGGCACAGGTAAGCCATTAATTATTAGTAGATTCTTAAATATATCGATTCCTTAAAGGTAAATGAACGATTGAACGAAGTACCTACTTAACATTCTAAATATTGAATTTCTTACGAAAAAGTTCTCCCAGAAATTACACGCAATACATTCTAATAAATGGGAAATATACCTACAGGAACTTCGGGAACAGTTTAGCACTGAAATAACCCACCTAGTCGTTAACTTTGACCCCGAAGGTATTAATTTCAATTTAATGGCCCATGAGTAGGCCAAATTGCACCTTAAAAAATGAAATTGATACACGCCATATAATAAGTAAGTGCACTCTCTAGCCTAGCATTAGATTGTCTGGCAAGGTAAAACAAGCGAAACAGATTTGTGTTTCAAGCAGTATAACCCCTTGAAAAGAGCTTAGTTATTTGTAATGTACAAAGACCTTTACGTTTAAATTTAATCTAATAGTTTTGATCTTTTCGTATTACTCATTTTTCGGAATTCACTTTACCTAGATATAGGTCTAGGAAGACAATTTCATAACTCATTGTCCTTTACAGCGTTCATAATGATCCAAAGGGTACTAACTATAAAGATATTCAACGATATACATATACAGGGTACGCAAAAGGTCCGGGTATTTCCGTTTCTTTGCAAATTAATCTTTTTCAAATTGGATATGTGTATACTGTAAAGAAAAAAGAATGTAATGTCTATAATGTCATTTTTAGCGCATTTTTGCAAATTATTTGTAAAAAGGTAGCTTTTAATTTAATTTTGGCCGGCTGACTGGCCGCCAGCAAATGCGGGTGGGTGGAAGAATGCTTTTAGAAAGACGAGGACTGTACATGTACCTACCGGGGCCGTGTAATTAACAACTTTTAGGGACTATTAAAACAACTGATCACAACGCAAAGACTTCATTTCAACGACCGCAAAGCTTCTATTTTTCAAGCAGTTACGCATCATTGTTACCAGTATGTATTGAGTGTAATGAAATACTGATAGTAAATATAACAATTATTCGATTTCAAGGTAACCATAGGTAGGGAAAAAAATAATTAAAAATGAATGTAGGCCATCAGTCAATTTAGAACTTGGGTTAATGTCAAGTTGTTTTGAAAGCAAGTCGATTGCAAAATGGACAGTGCGTCATACAGACTGGCTAAATTTTTAATGCATTATTTTCTTGTCATCAAATTAAACAGAATACTATTCGGTAATTGAGGGTATAGTACTCGTATTATAAAATATATGCATTTTTCTAATGAAAAGGGTAATATAATTAGTGCGCGAGGTGACTGTTATGTGAACAGTATAATTTTTTCTAGTTAGGATAATGCATGTCGCAATAATTATATCACATTAATGTCATGTAAAAACAAAACCTCATTAATCAATAAGGGTGATAATGAACAAATCAATAACTTGCACTTGAATGTCTAAACAGGTTCTACTTTTAACATTACTTTCTCACGTGTTGATTACATTAATTTTATGGATGACGATGTATGAAGAGTTGTGTGTTCTGTTGCATATTGTTCGACAAACAATAACTAGGAGACCAAAATACAAAACCAGAATGCTCATTGTTTTACTCTACGCCTAGGGGCGAAAATTGGGGAAAGTACGACAGGTAAAATAACTTCAACTGCAAATAGATCTACTTACCCGCCAGCAATAAACTTTCGGTTTGTATAAAGGGCTCTCGGAGAACTTGAAAACGTAAATTGACTTCTCGACTCCGATTTACTTGTTCCATCGCTTATATGAACCAGCTTCCTACTTTTTCCAGTAGTTTGGTGCCCATCGGCAGACCTCTCCACCATCGTCATTGTTCCAGATTAGGTACGAACTGAAATAAAAGATAATGAATGAGAGAAACTGTGTAGCTCTAAAGCTGGGTTTAGTTTTTCGAATTTACAGGGTGTTGACTGACATTTTTTTGGAATTTTGCTACGCTGGGAAAGTGAAGTGTTTAATTTCAAAAAAGAAACACGTTTCGGAAAAGCGCGAATAAATTAAGACAGTTTTTCGTTGTGTGTGCGCACTATGAAAAAAATTAATTAGCTCCGGCTAAAGAATAGACCCATTGTATATTTCGTGTAAAAATTACGTTGGCAGGATTTAAGGTGATAGTTTAATAAAAAACAAATTATAATCGCGATTATGGAGATGAATTTGCTTTACGTTCCGCCCAAGTTGAATAGTCGGATTTCTGCGGCATTAACTTATCCTATGTCAAGGTGCGTCTTTGCTGATAAAAGCTTAATAAATTATTTGGAGAGAAGAGTTCATAAACTGCGGCGCGTTCAGAACACATTATTCACGCGTAGAATATTTTAATTGTGCAAATACGACTTTTCTATTTTTTAGTTGCACGATTGTAACTCGTAAACTGTGGCCCATAGCACAAAATGTTCTTATATGTAAGTAAGTTACATAAAATCCTCTACATAACAGGTTCTACACGCTTTTTCGCTGCGATCAATATTTAATGATATACGGAGGGAAGAAGACGGATAATAAAAAAGATAATTTAAGTAGTAGCACGTACAGCCCTCCGGCACTTTGATACCTAATTAATCAAACTAATAATTGACGCCAAGGATGGTATATAATACAAGATTGCTCGATCACTGAATTTTTTCGCCGCGTGTAGTGACGTCACTGGCGGACCCAGACGCACCACATGCTTTGATTTTTCGATTTGTGCACCACTTTCATTTGTATTTTATATTATGTAAGATTCTGAGCTCCTCACGATGCGTTTTGAAACGCTGCAGAGTGGAAATTGGAGTTTGCCACACCGTGCTACAATATGGTTTTTACCACACAAGTGCTTAGGCTAATACGGCTTCGCCTTCCTTCAAAGGTCGAACTACAACCCCCACATATCAGTAATAACAATCTTAAACATAACAAACTTAGCTTTATATACAAAATATCAGTACACAAATATGTACGCTCTTTACTAATGTAAGTGATACACAAGTAAATCAACTCTCCTCAAACCAGACACAAATTTAAAAAAAAACGACGCCCCTTCTTGGTACGTGCGCTTTTGTTGCATGAAGGCGCTTCTGAAAATCGCTGCGGTTCAAGCTACCAGCCGCTTCAAAGAACGCCTGGTAAGAAGGGGCTCTAATACGTCCAAATGGATGTTATAGGTAAGTATTTAAATTAAAAACACTTGTCATTCATCGTCTACAAGTCTACAAATTCTCCTTCGGTTTTTCGCATACTCAAAATGTCGTGAACCCATTTCATCCTGCGTTTTTGGTTTGTTTGCTCTTCATCATTTATGGAAATTGCAGCTAAATCAGTTTATTTAAACTGTGTCCATCTTAAAATAACGATTTCTCGACGTTCTTTTTGACACTGGCTAAAATGAACGCCAGTTGAGTGTAAAATGTGAATACTACCTCAAATTGTTATTACGGTCCAATACTGCACGTCGGCGTCCAAGCATTTTTGTTGCAATATAGAGAACACTTATACACACAGTCTCAGAGTAAGAAATTCGTACTCTGAGCACACACGTTGACAACTTAGCAAATTATAACTGTCAATTCTGACAGCCAGGTCCGTTGGTGATGTCACATATGACTTAAACGTGTGCAACATTACAAGTATAGGGATCGAGCATATTACCTATATAGCATCCTTGAATTGACGCTAAAGGCACTCAATGTTGCAAAACAATGAACAGATCGTTGAAAGTGGAAACACTTTGGGTGATAACGAACAAATCGAAGTTACTGTTA